GTGTCTCCCAAGGGCCGGCCCTGCCCCCTCCTCTTCCGGGGGGCTCCTGCCTGTCTCGGCGCAGCCGCCCTCCCCGCAGGTTCCGTGCTGAGAATCGGCAACCTACTAGGCCGTGGGGGGTGGGGAGGACAGAAGTAGAATTTTTGCTCACCAGACTCCGCAGCTTAGAGGGAGCATTGGTCTCAAGGGACGTGGTCAAATCAGGAGAGACTCGGGTCCAAGTCTCTGCTGAGCTCAGCAGCCGACAGCATGGAGAGAGTTGTGGAGATCCGCTCGGCTGCCCGACATTCAGCTGCCCGGCGCTCGGCTGCCCGACGTTCAGCTGCCTGGCACTCAGCTGCCTGCCTTTCTCTCCTGCAGAACGGCAACCCCAGCGCGTTTGGGAGCCCAGCCGCACAGTCCCGGAGTCTGCAGCCTCCGCCGCCTCCGCCCGCACAGCCTCTGAACTCCTCTCAGCCGAACCCACGAGCTCAAGTGCCTCCGCCGCCGTTGCTCTCCCCTCAGGTGGGTGGGGGTGTGTGCGGTGGGGGGGGGATCTTTCTCCTCGGGACTCGGAAAGTTGCCAATCTCCGTCCCGTCAGTGGCCCAAGAGCACGGAGGTGGGTGTCTCCCAAGGGCCGGGCCGGCCCCCTGCTCTTCCGGGGGGCTGCTGCCTCTCTCGGCGCAGCCGCCCTTCCCACAAGTTCGGTGCTGAGAATCAGCAATGTACTGCCCAAGTGCCACCTGCTGTGGAGGTTATTGAGAATCAAAGCTGTTGGAGCCCCCCCTCCCTTGCTCCCAAAGGGCAGGGGGGGGAGTGTCCGACCTGTCCCGCTCTTCACTGTAGGTCCCCGTCAATCTGCTGAAGTACGCACCAAACAACGGGGGGCTGAGCCCGCTCTTTGGCCCACAGCAGGTAGCCATGTTGAACCAACTCTCCCAGTTGAACCAGCTTTCCCAGATCTCCCAGTTACAAGTAAGTGGAGCGGCTTTGTTGTCCCCCCCCCCGTTGCTCCCTCCCCCGGTTGCTCCCGCCCCCGGTTGCTCCCACTGCTGCTCTCTTTCAGCGCCTGCTTGCCCAGCAGAGGAAGGTCCAGACGCAGAGGAACATGTCTGCTGGAGGCCGTCAGCAGGACCAGCAGGTAGGTGCTTCCCCTTTCGAAGTCTGCATTTGAACTTTCAATCCCATCCTTTGGAAGAAAGCTGCGTGGGAAACCCTCCCCCCCTTCCCCAACGGGGCGTTTTTCAAACCTTGGAACCGCTGGCTGGGGCTGCCCTTAGCAGAACACACAAAGGTTCCTTCGAAACTGTTCCAAGAAATGGCTGTCTGCCCCGAGGGCCTCGTCTGAAAGGTGGAGAAGGTCCTGTCTGTGTGTGTCCTGTCTCCCCCCCCCCAGTGTTCCCTCTAAGCTGAGTTAGTGTGAGCTAGCCCACAGTTTTTTGGCCTCCAGCTCACACATTTTTGTCTTAGCTCAGGAAGGGACGGCTCCAGAGCAAACTAATTTATGCCGCAGCCAAATGGCTCCCTGACGACTTTTAATGCCAGGCGCTCACAAGGTAGAATTTTTGCTCACAAGAAAGAATCCACAGCTTCGAGGGAGCAGTGATGGAACACGGAAACGTGTGTGAAAGCGAGCGCGTGCCAGCACGTTTGGTGTGCTTATGCCTTTCTTTGTTAAGAGTGTTGTATGTGCCAGTGCCCTGGGGGGCAAGCCAGGGGATGAGAACGGGAAACGGCAACTACTTTTCAGTGTGAGGCTGTGACCAACAAAGTCCCTTGGCTTGCAGCCGGCCGTTATTCAGTCCACAAAACCAAACAAGAACCCACGGTAAGTAGGAAAACCAACATACAACAAGTACCGTGCAAAGATGATTAGAACATACCATAAGTAATTTTATATTTTTTTGAAAAATATTTTTACAATCATTTCTCCATATATAATTGTGACGTCCTCCTTATTAGGCTGAGGAAGTATTTATTTCAGAGCTGGTATACTTGAATGAAAGAGGATTTATTGAAATAAAGCATAAATAAGAGGGTAGTACAATGTAACTAGTAATGTGTAAATACTGAACAATTGCTTTGGTATCCCACACAATCTTCTCCCTCTCTGTCAGGGATCTTTGCATGTAACTTTGTAACACTTGTTTATCTCAATGCCATATATGTTCACTGTTTCACTCCAGTCTGTTATGACACTCAGACTTTCCTTTAACTTTACTTTACTTAAACTTTACTTTACTTTTTCCTATACATTCAGCTTTCAGCTCTCTTTCTCTTTCTCACTGAACAACCGCAGCTGTCCACTCCTAACTGCTTCAACACAGAACTAACTAACTTCATCAACTGTCAACCTGTAACTGAAACTCTTGACTGACTCACATACTCATCCAACCAGATTTACTTCCAAAACCCCTCCCCCTCTCTGTCAACCACCAATCATACCATACTTGCCTCTCTCAACCAGTCTAGTCTATCTAACACAGCCATGCAACCAAACTTTTAAAGAGACACACACACACAGAAACCAGGAATCGTTACAATAATAAATCATCTTAATTAAAAATATCAAAAATCATGTCCAAGAATCTCAAAAGCTGTTGTACAACCTTTATTATATATGTAGAAATTATTGTAAAAATATTGTCCAAAAAAATATAAAATTATTTATGGTATGTTCTAATCATCCGTGCACGGTACTTGTTGTATGTTGGTTATTCAGTCCACAGCAGTGTGGCCGTGTAGGAAAGAGCCCAAGAGTCCAGGAGCACCTGAAAGATAAGCCAAACTTGTGGCAGGGTGTGAGCTTTCGGGAGCCCCTCATTTGGTTCTTCTTTCATTCAGGCGCTCCTTGGCTCTTTCTCTTTTCTAGTGCTACAGACAGACTCACACAGCCACCCATCTTGACCTGTCTCCCATCGTATGGAGTCTGTCTCTGTGTGTGTGTACACACTGGCTTCTGACTTCTCCCAGAGTGGGGGTGGGGTCGGTGGGCTCATTCCTCAAAACGTGGGCTGCAGGCTCAAGCTGCCGGGCTCAGCTAGGGCAGCGCTTCAGACAGGACAGGCCCGCCGAAGCCGCTGCCCTCACTCCCGCCTCTCTCCGGGCGCCCTGCAGAGTCGCTCCATGGGCCTGCCGCAGCCCTGCCCGCTGGACCCCAGCCTCCTCCTCCTCAAGCAGCAGCAGCAGCAGCAGCAGCTCCAGTCGCCTGCCTTGAAGTCCTTCCTGGAGAGCGAGCTGCAGAAAGGGCCGGCGCAGAGCAGCAGTCCCTTCGGCAACTTCCCCCTCGGTAGGTCTGGGCTCAGGAACGGCCCCCGAGGACCCGGCAAGACGGCTCCACGCTGCTGCTGGGCGGGCTGGTCCGGAAGGCACCCGCCACCACCTGGCCCTGGCTCACTTGCTGTTCCGGCGGCACTGGCGCTTCTCCAGGGCCCTTGGGCCAGCTCAGATCTTGCGGGCCATGGTTTGGACCTCCAGACAGACGGCCCCAGGCACCAGGGCAAGGGGGTGGGATTAGGGCTACACACTCACACACGGTCTGACAGGAAGTGGTTAGGTGTGCAGACTCTAATCTGGGAGAACCGGGTTTGATTCCCCACGCCTCCACAGGCAGCGGCTGGATGACCTTGGGCAAGTCACAGTTCTGACAAGAGCTGTCCTTGAAAGAGCAGTTCTCTCAGAGCTCTCTCAGCCCCACCCGCCTCCCAGGGTGTCTGTTGTGGGGAGGGGAAGGGAAAGGCGTTTGTAAGCCGCTCTGAGACTCTTTGAGTGAAGGGCGGGGTATAAATCCAATCTCTTCTTCGGGCCTCTTCCCCCGAGCCAGTTGCTCTGCGCTCTGGACCAGTCTGGGCCGCGCCTCCTGTGGCTCTCCTCAGCTGGCAGGTGGGAAGGAAGCCCCGTCAGAGAGGCTGATGGCCCAGTCGCTCCCCTAGCCTCTGCGTGCCTGAGACACCTTGGGCACAGGAAGGGTGGCGCCCACGATTGGCACGGCTGCCTAAGCCAGTGAAAGGGGCAGGCAGGCAGGCCCTGACGCTGGCCCTGGCAAGGAAGCTGTCTCATGGGGAGACGCAGTTCTCCCAAAGCGCTGGAAAGCAGAGATTTCTTGTGCAAAGAGGAGTCTTTGCACCGTCCTTTGAGCCTGCATGCCACAGGGCCTTCCCCGCGTTGCCCTTCTCAGCTGGGAGCCCCAAGGGCAGCTTTCTGCACCGGAGAGTCTTGCTCCCAGCGGAAGTCCAAGGAGCAGGGGCCTGCGTCCTCAGGAGGGCTTGGACCTCAGTGGGAGGAATCGGGAGCTGAGAGAAGACCCTTCCCTGGTTCATCTCCTCCTCCTCCTCCTCCTCTGTTGCAGGACTGAACTCCAACTTGAATGTAAACGTGGACATGGGCGGTATCAAAGAGCCACAGTCCCGGCTGAGGAAATGGACGACGGTGGATAGTGTGGGGGCGAACGCCTCGCTGGATCAAAACGTCAGCAAAAATGGTAGGCGGCCCCATCGGTGGCACCTCAAGCGGAGGTCCACAAAGAGAGTGGAACTTGGTGTTTCCTCTCCAAAAACAAGACTGGTGGGGACCTGCCGTGCGGGTGTCTGAGGTGGCGTGGGTTTAGATCCCCGGCGACGGAAACGTGGCTTGTTTTGAATGCTTTGCTCCGAAATTAAGGCTCCTTGAACAACTCCAGTGTCTTTGTGAAGCATTTGTGTCTCTTGCAAAGAGCAAGACGTGTGGATGCCTCGCAAGGGAGTGGCTACAAATGGTTGCAGGCGGGGCGGGGGGTGACTGAGGATCATGGGGGGATGAAATGCCAACGTTCAGACTTCTTGCAGACACTGCCTGCCCGGTGCCAAGTGTATCCATAAAGGCTGGAAAGCATACATAAGAACGTAAGATGAGCCCTGCTGGATCAGAGCAGTGGCCCACCTGGTCCAGCCTCCTGTCTCACCTAGTGGCCAGCCAGTTCCTCCGGAGGGCCAAAAGACGGGGGACAGAGGCCGAGGCCTTCCCTGATGTCGTCTCCTAGCTCTCTGGGATTCAGAGGTTCAGTGCCTCTGAATGTGGAGGTCCCCCATAGTCACTGGGTTAGTAGCCATTGATAGACTTATCCTCCATGAATCTATCTGATCCCCTTTTAAAGTTTATTTCCTGTGGCCATCACCAGTTTGAGAGCCAGTTTGGTGTAGTGGTTAAGTGCACGGACTTTAATCTGGGAGAACCGGGTTTCATTCCCCATTCCTCCACTTGCACCTGCTGATGTGACCTTGGGTCAGTCACAAGCTCTGGCAAAGCTGTCCTTGAAAAAGAGCAGTTTCTGTCAGAGTTCTCTTAGCCTCACCCACCTCACAGGGTGTCTGTTGTGGGGAGGGGGAGGGAAAGGAGTTTGTAAGCCGCTCTGAGACTCCCAAGTGAAGGGCGGGGTATAAATCCAATCTCCTCCTCCCCCTCCTCCACCACATCCTCTGGCAGCAGGTTCCACATTCCAGTCACTCTCTGCGTAAAGTGGTGTTTCCTTTTCTCCCTCCGGGGCCTCCTGCCCGTCCGCTTCACGGGGTGCCCTCTCCTCCCCAGGTGCTATTTCGAGCGGCTTCAGGCTGGAGGAAGCCCCCTTCGTCCCCTACGACTTCATGAACAGCAGCAGTTCTCCGGCCAGTCCTCCGGGCTCCATCGGGGACGGCTGGCCACGTGCCAAATCGCCGCCCAACGGCTCCAGCAGTGTCAATTGGCCCCCGGGTAAGCTGCTTCCGGGGGTGGGGGGACGCTTGAGGCCCCAGGAGCAATGGGAGAGTGGGGCGGAGGGGGCTGGAGGTGCCTTGCAGGGGACGAGGCGTCAGGGGCCCGGCCAGCAGCCAGGGAGGGTCAGAAGGGATTGCCGCTGCTTGGCCAATCCTAATACCGGTGGCGGCACTTGAGCCACCGCAGCTCCTTCATATTGCTATAGTGTGGTTTTAATGAATCGTTTTAAAAGTTTTCTGATATTTGATTGCTGTTACGTTTTATGGCGCAAGCCGCCCTGGGCCTGCTTAGGCCAGGTACAAATCTGAAGTTGGTAATGACAATGGTGATTGGTGATTCCAGAGTTCCGCCCCGGAGAGCCCTGGAAAGGGTACCCAAACATCGACCCCGAAACCGACCCCTACATCACCCCCGGCAGCGTCACCAACAATCTGTCCATCAACACTGTGCGGGAGGCGGACCACCTCAGGGACAGGAGCACCGGTAGGCGGGGGGGCGGGCGGCCAGCTCCACATCGGGAGGCCCCACCCTCCCTTCCTGAACCGGAGGCCGGAGTCACGGAGGCGAGGCCAGCCGGATCCTTGGCGCGGTGGGCAGGGTGCCTCAGCACTTGGCGCAGCAGGGGCTCCGTTCTGACTTGGGGGGGGGTGTCAGGCAGAGCCGGCGGGGTGCCTTCCGGGGGAGAGGAGTGTGCTCCCCCCGTGCTGAGGCGTGGTGCACCGCCCGAGTGCCTGGTGTCACGCAGGGCCCTGCCCGCCTTTTCCCCGGCAGGGTCATCCTCATCTCTGAACACCGCGCTGCCTTCGACTAGTGCCTGGTCATCCGTTCGTGCCTCCAACTACAATGTTTCCCTCAGTAGTACAGCACAAAGCACTTCAGGTGGGAGCCGGGCCCTCCGTGGGGGGGGTTGGGCTCCCTTTCCTCCATCCTCCAAGAGCTCCCCTTGCCAGCTGCCCCCGTTTTCCCGCCCGCGCTCACCCCCCACCGTCTTGTGTTTTGCTTTCCCCCCCCCCCGCCCCCCCCCCCAGCCAGAAACAGTGACTCCAAATCCACGTGGTCTCCCGCTTCCATGACCAACACCTCTCTGGCCCATGAGCTGTGGAAGGTCCCTCTGCCCACCAAGGGCATCCCGGCCCCGTCGCGCCCGCCCCCGGGGCTGACCGGCCACAAGCTGCCTCTCTCCGCCTGGGACAGCGGCAACTCCCTGCGGCTGGGGGGCGGCGGGGGCGGCTGGAGCAGCTCCGAGGCCAGATACACCCCAGGTAAGAGCCTCCCCCTCCCGTCGCTTCCTTGGGCGCGGGCCTTCTGCCCACCGAGGGATCCGGACCCTCGCCCGGCCTCTGCACGAGAGAGCTCCGGGGCGATCTCCGGCGAGGCAGCTCCCCCAGAGGGTGGGCAGGATCCGGCCCCGTGGGCTCTGGGGTGTGGGCGGCTTGTGCAGCAGAGCGCAACCCGCCTGTCTCGGTCTCCCGTAGGCTCCCACTGGGCGGAGAGCGGCTCTGGGAGAGGGAGCACCTGCTCGCTCATCTTGAAGAACCTCACGCCGCAGGTGAGTGAGGGGGGCGTTGTCCTCCCGGGGGGGTGGGCTTGTGGCAATGCTCCCTCTGAGATGTGGGGGTCTTCTGAGCAAAAATTCTACTTTGTGAGCTCCCGGCATTAAAGTTGCGAGCGAGCAATTCGGCTGCTGCGTACGTTAGCTTGCTCTGGAGCCACATCCTTCCTGGGCTGAGACAAAAATGCCGGAGGCTAAAAAAAAAATGGTGAGCTGGCTCGCAGTAACTCAGCTTACAGGGAACACTAGTTGGGGGGGGGGCAACCTTGAAAGCGGTGCGTGTGTGTGCCCTCTCCCCCCCCCCCCCCCCCAGATTGACGGCTCCACCCTGCGGACGCTGTGCATGCAACACGGCCCCCTGGTCACTTTCCACCTCAGCCTCCCGCACGGCAACGCCCTGGTCCGCTACAGTTCAAAAGAAGAGGTGGTGAAGGCACAGAAGTCTCTTCACATGTGAGTGCTCCACGGGGGGGGGGGGGGGGGGCTGTCTTCTGGCCAGGGGGATAGAAGCCGTCAGCAAAGCTGTGAAATCGGATGCTAGTCAAGGCAGAAGCCTGTAAGTTTTAAGACAAGGGTGTCAAACATGTGGCCCGGGGGCCAGATGAGGCCCCCGGGCCGGATGAGGATCCCGGAGGGACTTCCACCAGACCCACAGTGGAACTGGCCGTCTCCTGCTTCCAGTTCTGCTCCATCAGGCTCGCAGTGGAACTGGCCATCTCCTGCTTCCAGTTCTGCTGCTGCATCATAGCTTGCTTCGCCAGACTCTCTTCATCACTCAGCCATTTCACGTTTTAACCTGGGTCCTAGACTCAGAACTCTGAGCATGATATTGCTGTGGTGAATGTCAATAAATCAAAAGGAGGTTTGCAGCTTACAGAGCTGATGTTTTAGGCATGTTTTTATTTTAAGTAAAAAAAAAACCCCAACCCTTTGTGTTTGTGTGTCCTTTATAAAGTTTATCTCTCCGCTTCCCGGCATGACCTTTCATGACACGCATGGGCCGGCCCAGCAAAGTCTCATTTGTGTCAGATCCGGCCCTCCTAACAAATGAGTTCGATGCCCCTGCTTTAAGATAAACAGCACTGGCCAGGGGAGTCACCTCCGGAGGGAGCCGGGGTCCAGAGCAATGTTCCCTCTAAGCTGTGAAGTCTTGTAAGCAAAAATTCTACTTCGGAGCTACCGGCATTAAAAGTTGTGAGCAGGTGATTCGTGCTACTGCATGAATTAGTTTGCTCCGGAGCCATCCTCCCTGAGCCAAGACAAAAATGTGTGAGCCAGAGGCTATAAAACTGTGAGCTAGCTCACACTAACTCAGCTTAGAGGGACCATTGGTCCAGAGCCACTCTGAGCAAATGTCAAAGAGGGATTCCAAAAAGTCACCTGTCCCGTCCCCGTTCCCCAGCGGGCCTCCGAGGTGAACCGATGGAGAGGTTTGGTCTGTCAGTCTTCGGCCTCCCCCACTGGGAAGAAGCGAGCGCTGGGTCGGGTTAAAAGGCCCAAGGGCCAAGCTGTAGAGAGTTCAGGGTGCCGCAGCAGGACTGGGCCTAGGAGGGGGGGGGGGGGAAGAGACGGTGTAGAGAGCCCCTTCAGGCAGCCAGTCTCGGCTGGCCTCAGAGCTGTTCTCTGGCCACTGCAAGACTGCTGGGTGGCCGCACAGCCATGGGACACAGCCAGCCTTCCTCCTTCACAGACCCACCACCCCAAATCTGGGACTCCTTTCCCCCTGAGAGCCAGTTTGGCATAGTGATTAGGAGCGCGGACTCTGATCTGGGAGAACCGGGTTTGAGTCCCCACTCCTCCACATGCAGCTGCTGGTGTGACCTTGGGTCAGTCACGAGTTCTCTTGGAGCTGTTGTTGAAAAAGAGCCGTTTCTGTCAGAGCTCTCTCAGCCCCACCTCCCTCACAGGGTGTCTGTTGTGGGGAGAGGAATGGGAAAGGAGTTTGTAAGCCGCTCTGAGACTACTTTGAGTAGTGAATCCAATCTCTTCTTTTTCTGCCACTGAGTGTACTCTAATCTGGGAGAACTGAGCTTGATTCCCCACTCCTCCACATGCAGCCAGCTGGGTGATCTTGGGTCAGTCACAAGTTCTCTCAGCGGTTCTCTCAGGAGCAGTTCTCAGAGTTCTCTCAGCCCCACCTACCTCACAGGGTGTCTGTTGTGGGGAGGGGGAGGGAAAAGGAGTTTGTAGGCCGCTCTAAAACTCTTTCGGGTAGTGATGGGCGGGGTATTAATCCAATCTCCTCCTCCTTCTCTTCCTCATCTTCCTGCCACCTTCTGAACCCCCCCCCCTCCATTCTGTCCGTGCAGGTGTGTCTTGGGGAACACTACAATCCTCGCCGAGCTTGCCAGTGAAGAGGAGATCAGCCGCTTCTTTGCACAAGGCCAGTCCCTGACCCCCTCCCCCACCTGGCAGTCCCTAGGCAGCGGCCAGAGCCGGCTGGGGTCCGTGGAGGGCTCCCACGCCTTCCCCACCCGCAGCGACCTGAGTAATCACTGGAACGGTGCTGGGCTGCAGGGGGGCGGCGGGGAGCTCCCGGGGACGTCCCTCTGGGGGAGCCCCGGCTATTCCACCAGCCTGTGGGGCTCGCTGGGGGGCGGCGACAGCCAGGGGCTCAACAGCCCCTCCCCGTTCAACGCATTCCTCTCCGTCGACCCCCTGGGGGGCAGCCCCGGTCACCCCCTGTCCTCCTTCAGCGAATGAAATGGGGGGGCGCCGAAGCCGCCGGGAGGGACACAGCACTACATCTGGACTCCCCCCTCCCTCCCCACCCCCCACCTGCACCCCGGGTGGGGGCAGGAGGGGGGGTCACCTGTGGAAGCCGTTACTTTTGTGCACATCCCCCCCACACACACCTGTTACCCCCCCCCCCCCCGCAACGTGCCAGTTTGAATACTTGAATCATGCAGGCCAAGTCTATAAAATGTGAAAAAAAAGTGACGGAGGGGAATCTTCCAGCCAGCGCTGTGGGTAGTTTCACGGGGGGCCTCCCGGGAGTCAGCTCGCCTTGCGCGCGTCTGTCTGTCCGTCTGTCTGTTGCCGTCGTGTGGGTTTTTTTCCTTTGCATCGGTTCGTTTCGTGCGGATCGCGTGGGCACCGGAGCCTCGGTTGCCCTGCGTGGGGCCGGCCGGCCGGCCTGTTTGCCTCCTGCCTGGCGGGGGTGGCCGTTGACATGCAGCATTTCCTGGCGGGGCCGGGGGGGGCGTTCCACGGTGCCTTGTTGCGTCCCCCCCCCACCAGCCACAATCAAGCACCTGACCTAGGAGGAGGAGGAGGGAGGGCAAGTCCTGGGGCCGGGCAAGTCGGGCAGAACGGCACAGGCGACAAACGAATACATACAGTGCGCGGCTGAGGCTGGCAGCCTGGCTTGGGGGCCCGGCCGGGTTCTGCACTTTCCGTAGGCTTCTGGGTTTTTCTTTTATATTTTTGTGGGGGGGGGGGAAGGGCTCCTGTGTTGGGGGGCGCCGCCTTGTTTACAGAAATTGTGTGTTGTTGTTGTTGTTGTTTTTGAGAAACAAATGTTTACTCTTCCATCCTTTTAAGAAAAAAAAATATTTTTTAAAAAACACACCACCCGACAAAAGCAGGGCTGTTCCAGACGCTTCTCGCGCTCTCTCTCTCTGGGAACCCCGAGCAGTTTTTGGCCACGTGGCACGCGTGCGCGTGTGCGCCTCCTCTCCCCGACTGGCTCACAAAGGGCGCGTGGCTCTCAGGAAAACCAAGGCCCTCAGTCCGGCGACTCCTGTAGCTCCTTCTAGGGAAAATCACGTTTTAGCACTGATCTTAAATAACTTGCTCGGTCAAACTTTTCTTCTGCCAAAAATTGCTTCAAATTGCTGGACTCAACCTGCTTTCCAATGCTGGGGGTGGGGGTTGGGGGCGGCTTAGCCTCTGAATTTCTTGATTCCCCCCCCCTCCCAACCCCGCTCTCATGAGTTTGTTCAGTGTTTAACCTTAAAAGCCGAACCGAGTAACTATGCAGACTGTAACCAAGGTCCTGGGCTTACAGAACCTTTGTTGTATAAAATTTTAAATGTTTAAGAAAGTTCTTGCAACTACTTTTCTTGTGGAAGTGTTAAAATCATCATTCCCCCCCCCCTTTGCCACAAATGGTATTATATTACTTGTTGCTTGTTTAGCTGGGAAGATAAAAGAAAAGACTAAACAAGGATAAAAAGTTTTTTTTAACTGTGCTGAAAGACTCATTTCATGGCCTTGATTCTTAGCTGTTGTGTCCGAAGATGCTGAAGAAGTCAGTGGCTTTTTAACTGTTTACAAGCAGGGGTGATTGTAAAATGTACAGTCGGGTTTGTGTTTGGAATTATGAAGTTTCTCCAGCTATTAATAAATCATGAAACTCTGGGCTGCTTACCATAGAACTGTTGTGTGTATGTGTGTGTGGGTTATTTTTTGTCGTGGCAGAAGTCCCCATGTAAAATCCAACACAATAACGAGGACAGAGAGTGATGAAAAGGTAGCATTCGCTTCCAGTGGATGTAGTGATGGCCACAGAAATAAACAGCGTTAGAATGGGATTAGATAGGTTCATGGAGAATAAGTCTATCAAGGGCTACTGGCCATGGTGACTGAAGGGAACCTCCACATTTAGAGGCACTAATCCTCTGAATCCCAGAGCCAGGAGGCAACATCAGGGAAGGCCTTGGCCTCTGTGCCCTGTTGTTGGCCCTCCAAAGGAACTGGCTGGCCACTATATGAGACTGGGTGCTGGACTAGAGGGACCCTCCCTGGTCTGATCCAGCAGGGCTCTTCTGAGGTTTTTATCAGGGGAAGGCCTTGGCCTCTGTGCCCTGTTGTTGGCCCTCCAGAGAAACTGGATGCCCACTGTGTGAGACGGGATGCTGGACTAGAGCAGCCCTCCCTGGTCTGACCCAGCAGGGCTCTTCTGATGCTTTTCTCAGGTGAAGGCCTTGGCCTCTCTGCCCTGTTGCTGGCCTTCCGGAGGAACTGCATAAGAACATAAGAGACGTCAATGTTGGATCAGGCCAAAGGCCCATCCAGTCCAACACTCTGCCACACAGTGGCCAAAAATACCAAGGTGCCATCAGGAGGTCCAGCAGTGGGGCCAGGACACTAGAAGCCCTCCCACTGTTGCCCCCCCCCCAAGCATCAAGAATACAGAGCATCCCTTGCCCCAGACCGAGAGTTCCTATCTATAGTATACCTTGTGGCTAATAGCCACTGATGGACCTAGGCGCCATATGTTTATCCAATTCCCTCTTGAAGCCGTCCATGCTTGTAGCCGCCGCCACCTCCTGTGGCAGTGGATTCCATGTGTTCATCACTCTTTGGGTGAAGAAGTGTACTTCCTTTTATCCATTCTAACCCCTGTGGATGGCCCCTGTGTGAGACTTGGGAAGCTGGACTAGAGGGACCCTCCCTGGTCTGACCCAGCAGGGCTCTTCTGAGGTTCTTATGACTCGGTGGTCCGGTCCCTGCTGGCTTTGCCTTTCCCCCCTTTTTTGGAGTAACTCAGATGACAGAAGAACACTTGCAAAGAGCGGGGAGCAGGTTGGAGGGGAAAGGAATGCTTTACTGGCATTCGAGACCTCTTCTTCTTACTTACAAAAAGAGACACACACCCCCAGCCGTTCAAGGTGCCCCCCCAGCTGTTCAAGGTGCCCCCCGCAGCTCCATTGTCCCCTTCCCTCCGGCAGCTGCCCGCGTCCCTGACCGGCTTCAGCTTCTCCTCCTTTGGAGGCCGGGCGCTGGGCTCTCCCGAAAGTGTGTCCCGGCCGGAGCTGCCCTTGGAGAGTCCGGCCAGGAGAGTTGGCTGCTCGTGGAAGGCTCCATCTCTGAGCTTGTGACTGTCGAGGGTTTCTGAGCGCCAGTGCCCCCCCCCGGGGGGGTGGGGTTGGGGGGCTCAGGCTGTCCAGCTTCTCTCCAGGTTGACCAGCTCCATCCCCTCGCAGTAGGAATGGGGCCGCTGGCCTTTGTGCTGAGGGGGAGAGAAGGGAGGGGGGATGAGAAAAGGGTCCTGTAAGGCAGTGTTCCCTCCGAGCTGAGTGAGTGTGAGCTAGCTCACTGTTTCTTAGCCTCCGGCTCACACATTTTTAAGAACATAAGAGACGCCAATGTTGGATCAGGCCAAAGGCCCATCCAGTCCAACACTCTGTGTCACACAGTGGCCAGAAATACCAGGGGCCATCAGGAGGTCCACCAGTGGGGCCAGGACATTAGAAGCCCTCCCACTGTTGACCCCCCCCCCCAAGCACCAAGAAGACAGAGCATCACTTCCCCCAGAGTCCCTATCTATACCTTGTGGCTAATAGCCACTGATGGACCTCTGCTCCATATGCTTATCTAATTCCCTTTTGAAGCCGCCCATGCTTGTAGCCGCCACCACTTCCTGTGGCAGTGAATTTCATGTGTTAATCACTCTTTGGGGGAAGAAGGACTTCCTTTTATCCGTTCTAACCTGACCGCTCAGCAATTTCATGGAGTGCCCACAAGATCTTGTATTGTGAGAAAGGGAGAAAAGTACCTCTTTCTCTACCTGCTCTATCCCAGGCATAATCTTATAAACCTCAATCATGTCACCCCTCAATCGTCGTTTCTCCAAGCTAAAGAGCCCTAAGCGCCTTAACCTTTCCTCATAGGGAAAGTGTTCCAACCTTTTGATCATTCTAATTGCACTTTTTCCAAAGCTATAATATCCTTTTTAAGGTTTTGTCTCGGCGCAGGGAGGATAGGGCTCCAGAGCAGACTCACTGACGCAGCAACCAGATCGCCCGCTCACAACTTTTAACACCAGGAGCTCAGAAAGTATTATTTTTGCTCACAAGACTCCACGGCTTAGAGGGAGCGTTGCCTGTAGAGACGGAAGGAGCACTTTTGCCACCCTCAGCCGCCTCCTCGTCCTGCTGGAGTCCCGGTCTTAGCCGGGCACATTGGGGGCGTGGTGGTGGTGGCTCAGGGCCCAGGCGGGGGGGTTTGGGGTCTGCCAGTTTACTGGCAGAGGTGCCTCTGAGCCAGGGGTTGGACAAGGTGGCCCCTGCTCCGTCGCCCTGGGAAGGCCTGAGGGGGTGTTCCGCTTCTCTCTCCACCGCATGGGTCACGACGTGAGCGTCCCTTTGCGGAGGGCGACTCTCGAACCTGGCCGCTCGCAGGTTGTGCCTGCTGGTTTTTGGGAGGACCTCTGCAGGCACGGAGGTGCAGAGACGTCCTTTTCGTGGCCCTGAGCGGAATGGCCCAGGCTGGCCCAATCTCTCGGAAGCGAAGCAAGGCCGCACCCAGGCAGGCGGAGAGGCAGGCAAGGGCAAGCGACCTCCGTCCCACGCCTTGAAAACCTTGTTCTTAAGTCGGCTGCGGCTCGGTGGCCGAAACACCCACCCAATGACCCTCGAGAGCGCTGCCTGGCGCGTGTCGTCCCCCCCCCTCACCGTGGGCTGTCGGGCGTGCCCGTGCGGGGCCGGCGAGGGACTCCACTGGATGGGCTCCACGGGCCAGCTGGAGACGGACACTTCGCTGGCCTTCCCCGAGTCGATCATGTGCTCGTTGCCGCTGCCGGAACTGCGCTCCCAGCTGCAGAGGGACCTGGGCGCAAGCACAGGCAGCCGCTCAGCACCGCCCGGCCACACAATGGCAGGAAGTGCGGGCGGGACGCCTCCCGGCTGGTTCTCTTCCCTCCACCGCTGCCCGAAAGCAAGTGGGGCATGGTGCTCACAACACCAGGCCTGGACTCGGGCACCTGCCTGAGCTTCCTCTCCGAGTGGGGAAGGGACCCTTCTTCCCCCCCCCCCAGCTCCTTGGAGGAAGGGTGAGGTATCCTGGGCTGACAGGCAGGGGGTGTGTGTGTGTGGGGGGGCGTCCACCCCCCACCCGAGCACTGGCCAGA